ACATGTTAAAGGCTAAAAATATAGTATGTTCAGGCTATATTATATACAATAAAAGTGGCTAATGAGAAACAGTGGCAATAGCAGTGCAGGTTTTTTTTTTTTTGAATCATCAACTGGATTTTACAGACAGAGGTGTAACTATCTATTTTTACTTAAGCGCTGTATTTAAAGCTGGGGTATCCAACTTTATAAACCATAAATATTGCATTGTGTTTGTCCCAACAGAAAGAGTCTTGTAAAAGTAAAATCAGACAACACCATGCTGTCTCCATCATATTTGATAAACAAGTTATCTTAGGCATAGTTCTAAGAAAGAGCCCTGTGAATCGCTATTTTGGGCGGCACGGTGGCTGAGTGGATAGCACTCTCGCCTCTCAGCAAGAAGGTCCTGGGTTCGAATCCCGGTCGGACCAGGGCCTTTCTGAGTGGAGTTTGCATGTTCTCCCCGTGTCTGCGTAGGTTTCCTCCGGGTACTCCGGTTTCCCCTACCACTAAAAATATGTCCAATAGTTCTAGCATGCGCCTCCTGTACTGGCGACCGCGCTCCCATCTCTGTGTGGAGTGAGAGACAAATGCCCAAAAATTAACAATTGTAAACCGCTTTGAGACTCAGATCTGCAGTGAAAAGGCGGTATATAAATAAATACTTACTTACTACTTACTTACTTACTATTTAGCCCTGTGAGTCACTATTTGATGCGTTGGGCTTAGGGTTGATTGGTAGTGCTCTCCTTTTTACTTTTCTGCTGACATAAAGATGTAACAGGGGCCAAATAAAAGTAGTGATAGAACCAAATTGTTGTTGTACGCGAGGAACTTGTAGATAAAGTTTCTGGCATAACATTTTCTGGGTGTATGTTTAGTCGACCATAGAATTTCTTACTTTTTTGTCTGTGGCATTTATTGTTATGTGGCCAAAGTATGTATTTATATTTTTAGAGCGCCCCCTAGAGCAGTGTCTGTGCTCCATCTCCATTCTGTCTGTTGACATATCCCACATTCCTACTTTCCGGTGTGTTTATGTGAACAGCAGAGAAGGCTGATGCATGGAAGTTCATATAAACACAGAACCTGTTTTTATGTTTAGTGGGATGTTGTCATAATAGAGTTTATAGACTTAATATTTTGACTCCATAACCTTTTAGAAGGAATGTTATTGTCAAAATAGACTGGATTCACCTGGAGTGCTTGGGTCACACCTCGTCAATAAATCATGTGGTTTTCAGTTTAAAAAGTCGTTTATCGCTAAGTGTTATATTACAACAAGAAAACAGCGGCTTATATTTTAGTATGGCTTATATTTTAGTATGGCTTATATGTGGACAAAATGTACTTTCACTTTAAATGTAGCAGGTGCAGTTTATATACAGATGCGTTTCAGAGTCCAGCCCCTATTGTATATGAATTTATATAAAGTTTATTTGTATGCTTCAGCACAAACTAATCCTTTCATCTCAACGTTTTGATGTTGAGCTTCCAACCTTTCTTTCTCTCATGATATTCCCAGAGATTTCACGCCCTGAGAGGTGATGTCTTCACACAGGTGGCAGGTCAAACAGAGGCTGGGGAGGGAAACTTCTCCTTCATGTGCTTTAATGTCACCGTTAAAAGCAGATTAGCTCATGAGAGAGAGACTGCTGAAGACTTTGCCTGACCTTGTTCCGGTTGTGGTGGTTCCAGTTAGTCACAGCGGCGTTGGGGAATGGGTGACAAAGTTGTAAAAGCTGGAGTTCTTACCTGTCTCTATGCATTTTTGTCTTAATCATTTAAGCAGGAAGGAATTAAGGGGAGAAAACAACAAAACTGACAATGTACGTCAAAAGTACAAATCACAAAACGGCTACAGACTTTGAGATTCTTTCTAAACAATTCTCACAAGAGCCACTCCCAATCCAGGTACAAACATTTTAAATAGCTGTGTTCAACTATCGAGAAATTAAGCCGGATCCAGCAGCGATCACACCTGTCACCCGGTTTATTTTTGAGTCGCTTTAGATCAAACAAAAGGAGACGTCATCACTTGAGATAATAATGACGCATGCTTAAGATTTAGCAATAATGCAGATTTAACTGAAAGACATAATTGAAAGATAAAACAGAAAGAGTCTTGAGGGTGGTCCTCTCTTTTTCAGTGTCTGTAAGAAAAAGTTGGTCTGCGGATGTGATCGTCCAAAGTATTAATGTGAAAGCTAATGTAGGCCTAAACTGTTTAAGGGTGAGGAATTATTTATATGAATTGTATTGCATAGTTTTTAAATTGTGGTTTCAAACTTCACTCCAGGCACTCTTAAATGAATCGTTTTCTTTGGATATAAGGCGATTAGGTTACTTGCTTCTCAATGTGATAACCATTTTCACAAGATAATCATTTTGTTGAATGCACATTAAGGTGATAAATGACAAGATAATTGTCTAAATATTCACGCTGGTGATCACATTCTGGGGAATTGAAAAAATATTATCTTCAGGTTTTGTTCTCAACTGAGCACTAATGAGGATTCCGCTATTAATAGTAAAGTCAAGTCTCCGCTTTGATGCCTTTAATGGAACACACACGTTGCCAATATTTCCTCTATGCAACATTTCAGTTTCTGTTTTTTTCTGCGGTATACCTGAAGGAATCATGAGGCCCTCTTTGAGAATACATTCTCATAAATCTTGCCACAATCTGCCACAGTTCTCTGCCAATAAAATCACGATTATTTTCCTCCAGCTGCAGCTCTCAGTGACAGCTTTTCCAAAGTAAACTCTGGGACTGTTTTTGCAGTTATAGTGGTGGAAATATTTTTCTTCATCTTTAACATCTGAACTTTGTCCAATTGTCATTCGAAATTCACGAATTGGCGTGAATTTGGCGTCGTTGAGATACATGTTCTTACCCAAGTGTTCATGTCCGATCAGCCGTCGACGTTCAAAGATGCCTGTTGTATGAAATACTTACAGTTGAACATGATATTGAGAAAGGTGTTGTGTTTCTGTTGTGTGACAGAGGTCAGACTGTGCCCTGGTCTCTGGAAACACTCTTAAAACCCATCATGTGATTAATGATGAACTCATTATGTTGACAATAAGACATAGTGTGCTGGGGCATTTGGTTTGTGATGTTGGAGAGCAGTTAATCAGTATTTTTTTGGCCAACGATTACACCAGGGTTCTTCAAATACATTTTCTGAGCATCGACAATCAATTTACACTTAAAAGGAATGTATCTGATCTTTATGTCTCCAAAGATTATAGGTAAACAGATACAAATCATATTTGACCTTTTCTGAACCAAATTTAAAGTGAAGTCAATCAATCAATCATCAATCAACGTTTATTTGTAGAGCGCCTTTCCTACACAAGGCAACGCAAAGCGCCTCACAACCCATATCACATCATGCATAAATCATCAAATTAGAATTTAAGTAAACATAAAAAGACAGATTAAGAGCACAAGATATATAAAATCACACAAGTAGTTAAAAACCGTAAAACATTCACACAATCACACAAGGGATTACAATCATAAATAGTCATAGCGCATTAAAAAGATTAAAGATAAAAACGAATATAAAATCATTCACTTGTATGCACAGCTAAAAAGAACTGTTTTCAGTTCAGTTTTTAAAACTGCTAGAGTAGATGCCTGTCTCACATTCTCGGGAAGACGGTTCCAGACTCTAGCTGCATGAATCTGAAACGCAGCCTCCCCATGTCTAGTTCTGACTCTTGGCACTAACAGAAGTCCAGTCCCTGTGCTCCTCAGAGCCCGAGTTGGTTCATATGGCACCAACATGTCGCGGATGTACCCTGGTGCGAGGCCATGGAGAGACTTGTACACAAGTAAAGCTGCTTTAAAGTCTATTCTCTGAGCCACAGGAAGCCAGTGCAGAGACCTGAGGACCGGACTAATGTGGTCGTACTTCCTGGTTCATTCCTAGTTATACATTATGTAAGCATAAATACAATGAACACAATGTCTAGTATTTATTTTTACATTTTTAAAGCAGATTATCCGATCAGGGAGCAGCAACCCTCATTTGGGTTGTTTAAAAAAAAAAAAAAAATCACATACACAATAAATAGCACCACACATTTGTTTAACTGAAAGCAGATACCAAAAAATGTAGTAGTCATATAATACACAGAGTTTGTACTGTTTCTTGCTAAATCCCAGAAGGTAGATTGCATCAGTGTTTAGAGACGACATTTTTCACAGACAAAGATTCTGGCAACAAAAAATTGTAATTTAATGACTTCATCCGACCATTAAAGGAGCATGATACATTTAGGCTATATCCACACGAAAAAGAAACGCTTATAATTTCAGAAACTTTTTCTGTAAACACGGAGTTAGCTCAGTAAATGTGTGCGTCCATATGAATGTAGTCAATACGCCTGAAAACGCTGTGAAACTATGCCAGACCTGTTGGTGGCGCTGTGACGCAATGACGGGATCAAGCCCAAACTTCCGTGGGCATGCGCGGAATTTTGTAAACAGACAACATGGCGAGTGGGCGAGCTGGTACTACATTAGTATGGACGGACGATTAGGTTGAACTGTTGCTTCGGGTCACACTGGATTACAAAACCAACAAGCTACATTGTTGTTGTCATTATTTTCTGAGTGCGGCGCATGCGTGCTTTAACAAGAGGCGGGGCGATGACGCAAGCGTCTCAGATACATTGCGGAAAGGCAGTAACCACGGAGCGGCATATACGGAGTTTTAAAATCTTTCCACTCTGGGACCTACTTTCAAAAATGTTCGTTTATGTAAGCCGGCATTGTGCGGGTTTTATTTTACTTTTGTATTGCTGTGTGTTTGTTGTGCTTTTAATGAACCGCATGCCGTAGCCACTCCTACCACCTTACTGTCACCAGCCAACTGGACGCCCCTGACAATCACCACACCTGCCTAAATGGGCAGACAGGCTCTTAAAACGACAAGAGAGCAGCAACAAGAAAAAAACAAACGGAGACTAACGGGAGACTAACGGAGACTAACAAAGACGGGCAGAGACGGGCACGGACGAACGGGACGAGCACGGAGACGAGAGCAGGCCACGGAGGAAGACCACGAGCGGGACCCGTCGAGTGCCAAGGAGGCGAACCGTGAAGCGATCTACACGCAGCGGCGGGGCTCATACCCCGCCTACGCAGTAAGTAGCGGTTCAAGACGCGTTTACCCCCCCGTGGCCTTTGCCATATATTCGTATGCTGTGTTCTGCTCCGGTGTGCTCTCTCCCCTAGAGGTCTACGGCCCTGGGATCCGCGGCGGCAGCTGGAGGGCTGCAATCCGGATAAAGAGCGAGGACGCAGAGTCACTGGGACGTACCGCGAAGCGACCTACACGCAGCGGCGGGGCTCATACCCCGCCTGCGCCGTAAGTAGCGGTTCAAGACACGTTTTACACTCCAGCCTTTGGCCCATATATGTGCTGTGCTCTGCCGGTGTGCTGTCTCCCCCCTAGAAGCGGTGTGCGCCATTCACATTGGGGACGAGCGCCGTCTACCTGCCTCTGGCCCACGTTAGCCTCAGCCATTGGGGCACAATTCCCCCGGAGCCCCCACATCCGAGGTTTCTGGGTTTTAACGAAGGACTTTTATAACTTTTATCCTTGTCTTTTTATTTAATAAATACTGTATTTGTAAAGAGTTTTTGTCTCTTTGGAAACACCACCATCGCTCTCATCTGCCATAATCAGACAATTCGTCCCCTTTTCACTTCTACAAACTTCATCCTCTGCAATTAAAACCCCCCAAACCATTACATAACTTGGCGTTGCTGACAGGATTCACAATTCTGAGAGCTGGTGTTTCCAAAAAGGACAAACATGATGATGATGCCGATTTTTGCGGGCGCGCCGTGGTTACCTAAATTTAAAGGGCCAGACAGTGACTTGAAATACTCTGATTGGAAGGAACAGATAAAAGGGCTTTTGGGTTCACAAGATTTAACAGAGGCACGACAAGTTGAAATTATTATAGGGGCACTAGCTGGGGAGGCTAAGCGGCAAATCACTGTCTTAGAAAACGATGAGCGAGACCAGACAAGGAAGATTTTTGTTTATCTAGACTCAGTATATGGTGAGAAGACTCCAACACCCGTATTGAGATCACAATTTTTTGGCTGTACACAAAGAATGGATGAACCTGTCCTAACCTTCATTTTGAGGCTACGTGAACTCTATTCTAGATTGAGGCGCCAAGACCGTGAAAACCCCCCCTCCGAAAGTGCCTTGCGAGATCAACTGCTGCTAGGCTTGAGCGACAGCCCACTGGCCCAAGCTCTGAAGGTCTATGCTCGCCGTCACCCAGAGCTGGATTTCACAGAGCTACGTGAGGAGGCCAGGTTATTGGAGACTGAGTACGGCCGGGGTCAACCAGAGGTAACGTGTGCCTCAGTTCAAAAACATTATGACTCTCCTAAAACCCCACAGGGATTGGACTGGAAGGAGCAATTGAAGCGCGAAATCATGGAGGAGGTGAACGTCCAAATGAAGGGGCTGTCCCGTGATATCCTCGCTGAGCTTAAACCCCTGCTGCAGTCTGCCTCTCCCCAGTCAAGCCCCCCCAACACCACGTGGAACCGCCGGTATTCACCGAGACCCTATAATGACCGGGACGAGCAAGGTAGGCCTATATGTCACCGCTGTGGAAAGGCAGGACACATTGCTCGCCATTGTAGAGGCACATCCATCCAAGAGCAGCCTTTAAACGGTTAAACCCTGCTGCTGAGGTCCGAGCTGCAGGGCTAGTTAACACCCCACCACCCAATAGGGCCACTGAAACATTTGTTGGGAAATGTCCTACAGTAAAAATAGGCTTTGATGGAGTACAATTGGAAGGCCTTTTAGACACTGGGTCACAAGTTACCTTGATGGCAGAGAGTTTATTCAAGGAACATTTTACCCAAGATAAACTAGGAAAAGCTCCTACTCTATTCCAGCTTAGAGCAGCCAACGGACTAGAAATACCTTACATTGGCTACGCCGTGCTCAACCTAGAGGTTGAGGGTATTAAGGTCCCAGAGAGGGGAGTGGTCATAGTTGCAGACAATAAGTGTACTTCCCCTCTAATTATAGGAATGAACGTCATCATGGCTTGTTGGGATAACATCTTTAAGAGGTCAAAGATGCCTGCTCTCCCACCACAATTTAAACATCTGAGAGTGTGGCGGGAGGCGTTTGCCACCTGCAGCCGCATAGAAGTAGCCCCCACAGAGGACGGGTCAATGGGTTTCGTGAGGTTGGCCACGAAGAATAACATTTCAGTCCCTCCAAACAGTGAGATAGTGGTGTGGGGTCGTACTCGGATGGGGCGGGGTGGAACAGATTTCTGTGCCCTTATAGAGCCGGTTCCTGGGGCTAATATTGGTGGTGTGGGTGTGGCTAGAACGCTGGTCGAGGTGAGGAAAGGAAGAGTCCCTGTTCGCATTTGTAACCCCCACCCCTACAGTGTGTCTGTAGGTCGTTTTACGAGGTTAGGGCAGCTTTATCATATTGAAGAGGCAGATGTACATGGCCCAAATGACCCATCTCTGTTTCTTGAGGGAGACGACGTCGTAGCGGTAACCCTGGTAGATGTCACAACTTCGGCGGCTAACTCTGAGTTGCCCCCAGAGGTGAGCAAACTGAAAACGCGCCCTGACTTGTCTGAGGTGCAGCAGGAGGAGCTGGAGGCCCTGCTGCAGAGGTGGGAGAAGGTCTTTGCCGTACATGACGAGGATTTTGGCCGGACTGACCTGGTGCAGCATAGAATCCCTACGGGCGATGCTGCCCCCATCCGAGAGAGGCACCGGCCAATCCCCCCAATGCTGTACAGAGAAGTAAAGACCCTTCTATCGAGCATGTTGGAAAAGGGAGTTGTCAAGGAGAGCTGTAGTCCGTGGGCAGCCCCTATTGTCCTCGTACGAAAGAAGGACGGGAGCTGGCGCTTCTGCGTGGACTATCGACGGCTCAACGCTGTAACCCATAAGGACGCGTTCCCCCTCCCACGAATCGAGGAGACCCTAACTAGTCTTGGCCAATCAGAATGGTTTTCGACCCTGGACCTTGCCAGCGGTTACTGGCAGGTCGGCATGCACCCTGCAGACCAAGAAAAGACTGCATTTACTACCCCGCTAGGCCTCTATGAATTCCAACGCATGCCCTTTGGCCTTTGCAATGCTCCTGCAACATTCCAGAGGCTGATGCAGCAGTGCTTAAATGGGCAGATAGCTGAATCCCTTTTAGTCTATTTGGATGACATCATTATTTACTCTCCAAATTTCTCTGCCCACCTCCAGCATCTAGACCAGGTGTTTGAGCGGCTGTGGCGCCACGGATTGAAGCTGCGTCCGGATAAATGCAGGCTCCTGCAGAGAGAAGTAACTTTCCTAGGGCATGTGGTGGATGGACATGGTGTGAGGCCGGATCCAGGGAAGATCGCCTCGGTCCTGGAGTGGCCTATCCCAACCACTGTGAAGCAGGTTAGAGCGTTCCTTGGCTTAGCTGGGTATTACCGCCGCTTCATATCAGGTTTTGCTAAAATTTCCAGGCCCCTTAATGGACTCCTGACCGGTATACCAGCTGACCGCAGATCCTCATCAAGGGCTATAACATGGACACCACAATGTCAGAGTTCTTTTGACTCCTTAAAGAATGCCCTAACCCAGGCCCCTGTGCTGGCTTATGCCCACTACGATAAGCCCTTCATAGTCTACACAGACGCGAGCAACCAGGGGCTTGGTGCTGTCCTATCTCAACATCAAGATGGTCAGGAGCGTGTAATTGCATATGCGAGCAGGAGCCTACACCCAACGGAGAAAAATGACGCGAATTACAGTTCCTTTAAACTTGAGTTGCTAGCCCTTAAATGGGCTGTGACTGAAAAGTTTAAAGACTTCCTCATAGGAGCTGAATTCACCATATACACAGACAATAACCCACTGGCCCACCTGCAGACGGCACACCTAGGAGCAGTGGAGCAACGCTGGGTGGCCCAACTCGCCCCATTCAACTACACGGTCAAATATCGGTCAGGTAAAAGCAATATCAACGCTGACGTTCTGTCTAGGTTTCCTGCTCCTGTTAAACAGGCCATACCACCCGTCGATGAGCTGGTGGATGCAGCTGCAGTGGAGGTGACGTCTGCGATTGAGTGGGGAGAGGCCCAGGCATCCGATCCCGATATCCAGGCAGTCAAAACGTTTGTGATGGAGGACCGCTTTCCAGGCCGTCTGGACCGCCGGGCATTGACTTCACGGGCCCAGAAGTTACTGCAACAGTGGCAGAGGCTGACGGTGAGAGATGAACTATTGTGCCGGACTGTGCTTGACAGACACACCCATGAGGAGCACCACCAGATCGTGTGCCCAAGCTCTTTGTGTGCAGAGGTGTGGAAGATGATTCATGAGGCTGGAGCCCATTTTGGACCAGACAAGACTCTCGCCCGCATCAGGCAGCAGTTTTTCTGGCCAGGCATGGAGGGGGAGGTACGATTGTTTCATGAGGGCTGTCTTGCGTGCGGACTTCAAAAGAGCCGCGTTGAACCACGCGCTGCATTACACCCCATTTCTACTGCATTCCCCCTTGAAGTAATCGCATTAGACTTTTTGACTTTGGGTCGCCCCGCAGACACATACCAGAACATTTTAGTTGCCACAGATTTGTTTACCCGTTTTGCATGGGCCATCCCCACAACTGATCAGTCGGCTCAAACCACAGTAAGAATGCTGTGGAAGGACATAATTCAACAATTTGGCTGTCCACTGAGATTCCACTCTGATCGTGGTCCAAATTTTGAGTCGGCGCTGATGCAACAGCTGTGCACCTTGTATGGCATAAATAAAAGCCGCACCACATCTTATCATCCTGCAGGCAATGGTGGTGTTGAGAGGTTTAATCAAACCTTGTTGCACATGCTCCGTTCCCTGCAGGAGGAAAGGCAAAACCGTTGGCAGGACTACCTACCTGAATTAGTCCATGCGTACAACAACACTGTACATAGCGCTACAGGTTATGCCCCTTCGTTTTTGATGTTTGGGCGGCATCTACGGCTCCCTGTAGACGTAGTTTTGGGCCCGCAGCCCCAACAGTCGCGGTTCGATCTGGCCGGGTGGGTGGGAGAGCACCATAGAAAGCTCTCTGTGGCGTACAACGTCGCTAAGCAGAAAGCAGACAGTGCAACTTCCCAGCAGAAACGACAGTTTGATAAACGTGCTAACGCTGCGCCTCTCTTACCTGGCGAGCGAGTCTGGTTGCGGAATAGACGAAGAGAAGGCAGGGGTAAACTGAGCACTTGGTGGCATCCTCAACCACATGTTATTTTGAACACTGTCGGAGATACTGGGGTCGTGTACACGGTGCGCCCTGAAAAGGGTGGGCGCGAACAGACTGTGCACAGGAATGCCCTGAAAGTTTGTACATTGCCCCCTGATGAACCTGTGTCACTGCCCAACCCAGTACCCATAGAGAGACATGAACTGCCAGTTGTCTACGGATTCTTTCCTGCTGGACCAGAACCACCGTTGGAGGAGCCCCAAGTTTTACCCCGCCGCTCCATCCGGCCGAACATTGGACAACTCCCTACGCGGTACAATGACTAAGTGACAATGGGACGTCCCCAGGGACGGTAACGTAAAAGTGTGGGGGGGTGTAAGCCGGCATTGTGCGGGTTTTATTTTACTTTTGTATTGCTGTGTGTTTGTTGTGCTTTTAATGAACCGCATGCCGTAGCCACTCCTACCACCTTACTGTCACCAGCCAACTGGACGCCCCTGACAATCACCACACCTGCCTAAATGGGCAGACAGGCTCTTAAAACGACAAGAGAGCAGCAACAAGAAAAAAACAAACGGAGACTAACGGGAGACTAACGGAGACTAACAAAGACGGGCAGAGACGGGCACGGACGAACGGGACGAGCACGGAGACGAGAGCAGGCCACGGAGGAAGACCACGAGCGGGACCCGTCGAGTGCCAAGGAGGCGAACCGTGAAGCGATCTACACGCAGCGGCGGGGCTCATACCCCGCCTACGCAGTAAGTAGCGGTTCAAGACGCGTTTACCCCCCCGTGGCCTTTGCCATATATTCGTATGCTGTGTTCTGCTCCGGTGTGCTCTCTCCCCTAGAGGTCTACGGCCCTGGGATCCGCGGCGGCAGCTGGAGGGCTGCAATCCGGATAAAGAGCGAGGACGCAGAGTCACTGGGACGTACCGCGAAGCGACCTACACGCAGCGGCGGGGCTCATACCCCGCCTGCGCCGTAAGTAGCGGTTCAAGACACGTTTTACACTCCAGCCTTTGGCCCATATATGTGCTGTGCTCTGCCGGTGTGCTGTCTCCCCCTAGAAGCGGTGTGCGCCATTCACATTGGGGACGAGCGCCGTCTACCTGCCTCTGGCCCACGTTAGCCTCAGCCATTGGGGCACAATTCCCCCGGAGCCCCCACATCCGAGGTTTCTGGGTTTTAACGAAGGACTTTTATAACTTTTATCCTTGTCTTTTTATTTAATAAATACTGTATTTGTAAAGAGTTTTTGTCTCTTTGGAAACACCACCATCGCTCTCATCTGCCATAATCAGACAATTCGTCCCCTTTTCACTTCTACAAACTTCATCCTCTGCAATTAAAACCCCCCAAACCATTACATTTACACCCCCCCAAAACGCCGGCCTCGTATGGACGATACACTGGATTGATGAAGTATTTTTGCATTTAGGCCTGAGCTTGACTTCGTGTGGACAGGGCCTAACTCCCTTTAAAGTGGAAATACTACAATAGTGAAAAAGCAGCTTTCCAAGAGGACGTGAGGTTTGGAGGATACAGAGGAGAGCATCAGCGACAATCAACACTGTAGCTTCCCCTGAAGTGAACAACCGAAATAAACTTGCAAGTAATTTTAGATCCTTCTCTTCCTGAAGCCAAATTCTGATTATATACAGTATGTGTTATTTCCCAGGCCAGGGGCACTTTCTGTCTGTTGGAGGAAGAGATGACCTTGGCCAGCAGCTGTGTGTCTAAAGTTGGCTGTTGTGGTGCTTGAGGAACATGGGACACAAGAAAAGCAGCTGTATTTGAATGTACCCGATGTTTCTGATGGAGATGGTGATGTTGTTGCATTCAAATGATTAATCTCCATAGAAGCAAGATAGTACTTACTTGAAACAGTTTTCAGGGCAGTTGTAGATAGAGGAGGCCAGGTTCAGAGGTCCCATCATCATACCATGAAACAGACAATGGGACAACGGATGAATAGCAATGAACAAACTACAGTCAAAAACCTAATAATGCTAAACAGATAAAGTGGGAAGGAGGAGAGGATAGTGCTCAAGTTACCATACTTCTCCCAGCAAACTGCAGCCAGCCTGACTGACAGTCTAAGGAGTTAGCCTTCCCAGAGTCTTACCTTCCTAGCCATATGCTAAACCAGTGTCTCCCAAAGTGGGGTCCGCGGCCCCCTGGTGGGCCGCGAGGGTACTGCAGGGGGGCCGCGGGAGGTCATTAAAAAAATTAAAAAAATAATATAATTATTTAATGTTACATTTATAATGTTTTGTTTGTAATATTAAAATATTTGTGTTAATTATTTGACTTGAATAATCCACTGTAATAATTTGTGTATGTAGCAGAGGCTATTTCCCCAAAATAAAATAACCAGAAGAGCCTATTCTTAATGTTGTCTTCTTGGTTATTATTTTGGGGGGCCACGCAGACCCGTCGGATTTTTAAGGGGGCCTCGGTGTTACTGAGTTTGGGAATGGCTGTGCTAAACTAAAGAGGACTTTTTTAGCCTAGCCTGGAACGTAGGGTTGAAGATGCAGCGGACCGGGTCCCATATATGTAGAGACTGTGTCTGCTTCCTTAAAGTGCGTGGGGAGCTGATTCCACAGTAAAGGAGCTTGGTAGCTAAATGCTCTGCCACCGACAGTGCTTTTTGAAACCTTAGGGACCACCAGACGTCTGGCGTTTTGCGAGCGCAGTGCTCGGCTTGAAGGTAGAGGGAGCCGAGCCATTTATGGCTTTGAATGCCAAAAGAAGAATTTTAAACTTTATTCTGTACTCCACAGGAAGCCAGTGGAGTGATTTTAACACCGGAGTTATGTGCCCCCTCCTTTTGGTGCCTGTTAAGATCCTTGCTGCTGTATTTTGAACAAGCTGGAAGCTTGTCAAAGAGGTTTTAGGGCACGCTGCCAGCAAAGCGTTACAGTGGTCAAGCCTTGAGGTGACAAAGGCGTAGATTAGTTTTTTTTTTATATGCCGTTTTAGTTGCTTGGTTTATATAAGCCTTAAAGGGGAGTTCTTCGTCAAAAACAAATACAAGATTCCTCAGTGTTGCTGGGTACAATACTGACATTATCGAGAGTGATTATCTGGTCAGCGAGGAAGTCACGCAGGCTTTTGGACCGAGTAGGATCACTTCTGTCTTCACCGGGTTAAGAAGTAGAAAGTAAAGAGTCATCTTTGTTTTAAGGTCCTTTATGCAGGCACTAAGCCATATCAACTGATCCGTCTGATTTGGTTTCATCGACAGATAAAGCTGTGTGTCATCTGCACAAGTTAATTCCATGCTTTTTAATTATGTTTCCTAATGGCAGCATATAGAGTGTGAAAAAAATTGGTGCTGGGGCACACCGAATTCCACTCTAGAGTAAGGTGACGAGTTTTGATTAAAGTGATACCGATTCGATAAATAGGATTTAAACAAGCCAAGGGCTGTTCCTCTGAGACCTATATCGCATTCTAGCCTCTGCAGTAGAATGCTGTGGTCTATTGTATCAAGTACTGTTTATTTATATAGCGCATTTTACAGACCAGGGTCACCCAAAGCGCTTTACAATGTTCAGAGTTCAGATATTGTTCCAATCATTCCACACACGGTGATGATGGAAGCAAGTCGCCGAACACACTGCATCAGCCCCCAATCAACACCATCCATTAGCTTTCTCAACTACATTCATACCTATTGTACATGTTTTTAGTGGTAGGGAAAACCGGAGCAGACATGGGGAGAACATGAAAACTCCACTCAGAAAGGCCCTGTTCCGACCAGGATTCGAAACCAGGACCTTCTTGCTGAGAAGAGAGAGTGCTATCCACTCAGCCACCGTGCCGCCTTTCTTTGTTTTGCGTCCTTTACAATCACATGTCTGTGTCACAAGTCTGTGTTTTGCAGTTTGAGAAAAAAAAAAAAAAACAGCAACTACTTCCTTTTCATCTCCTCCCCCTGGTGGTAGCATAGAGAATTACAAGTGGAACGTGTTCTATAAGTATGAAAGGAAAAACATGATTTTTAATGCTTTAATATTTATCTTAAGATATTATTTTTCATTCTAAAACATGTTTTGAATGCCTAAGAATAATGCATATTGTTTCTTGTGTGACTGTCCTAATGAAATTATTTCTGTATATGAAGCCAAAGAGTTTTTGAGATTTAAATGAAAAACAGATCGAAGTATTCATAATGGCTATAGTTGAAACTTGGAAGCTCAAGCCACAAAGTAATGTATCAGTAATTTACCCAATGAAAGCGATCCTCATTAAAGTCCCATCAGCACTGACGCAGCTGATCAAAGAGAGCGGGAAGAGTAATTCGATCTCACAATATTTATGCTCCACAATTGTACCAAAGTGCATCTGATCCGTGAAGAGGACCGTACTGTTTATCTTTATACTTTCTGACAATCTTCATCAACCTGCCAACGTCAATACGCTCTTAGAAACAGATCTCACTGCACTGTGCCAGAATACGTTGTAGGCCTGGATGAAATAAAGTCTGTATGTTGCATTCATGTGACATCACAATATTACAACAAGAGCCCACAGTTTAACACTGTGAAGAAGGGAAGCTGGGCATCTCTCCTGGTCACATGTGTCAAAAGTCAGATAATCGTCTAGTTTAGATTTTATATCCATCTGCAATTCCTGGACCACATGAGACAAAGAAGATGCAGTGTTCAACTTCTTCTTTGTCAAACTACAACTTGGTACATTTCAACTATGGTCTCATTTTCTCATAAAGGTTTCCTGAAGTGACAATATTCAAAACAACATATGCATGATGTTGGCCAGCAGAAAAAGCTTTCAGACATAAGAAACAATAACTATCAAATAATGATTTGGGAAAATATTTTATTGTTCAGTAATATTAGTAATAATATTTGTAATTAGTAAGTGATATTTTCTTCTAACATTTCAGCTTTCTTATAGAGTTGCATCGGTACCCGCCCTCCAATAGAATTCTAGCTCGTGAACACTAGACCAACAGCTTTTTCATATGCAAGTGAAAAACAAAAACCTTGTCTTCATTCACCCAGCTAAAGAGTCATATATTGACTCACAGGGGTCTTTGAACTAAATGAATTATTAATTCTATTAAAAGTTAGGTACACCCATTTACAAACCAGACCAGTGCAACATTACTAAAGTCTGAATCAACTTCACCAGAATTTAGTGCTTCAAATTCAAACCCGCCTTTTATGTTCTGATGTTATAAGAAGTAGAAATAGTTTTCTAATGAAGTTATTGGATGTCTGGTTTTGCTCAAATCTGGTCTGTTTAAACTAAAGAAAACTGTGATTCAAAGTGACATCGATTCCTTTTCTTCTCTTATAAGTAATTTTCAGACACACATCATTTGTTGACATTTCAATACACTGCTGTGTTTTTCACCTCTGACGGACTCATTTAGATCTTTGTTTCCTACTTCAACTCTTTAACTGAAATGAGCCAGATTTAAACACAACAATGATGCTGTAGCCGATCTGATTACCCCCCAACACTGAAATGGACTAATAAAGGGGAAGAAAATGAATGAATGATGCAGTGAAAGAGGTCTGTGCCATTTTTATGCCACATAAAAAGGCACCACAGTTCACTACAAGAGCGAGCCATGTGTGAACACAGTGCTTTGTTCCAAGTGGGGAAGGACTTGACTTAAAAACTAAATATTCTCAAACTCTGATGACAAAGACTGTGCGACTACATAAGATTACATCAGTGCACCTTGCATTTTCTCAACTTCAATCAACTTATCATACTGTAACTGTTATTTAGCATTTTACCCAAAAACATAAATGAATAATGAATTTAGAATTCCCCCTTAATTGTGTAACCTTATGAAGTGTGACTTTGTTTTCCTTTCTATCCGTGCAGAATATCCGTCTTTTGTATTTGAACAAAGTGAGGAAATTCACATGACGAGATTATTTTAATGAATTTCCCTGTGGGGCCTCACTCTGTCAGCCATCTCTCTCTCCTCACATGTGATGGATGGTCCCACAGTTCAAACATCTATTTCTGTCAAAGTGGGTGTTCCATATATGTTTTTGCACATATAGGTCACTGTATACTCTTTTAACTACTAACCACCAATTTACACACCAGCAGCAACCTCTGACAATGTGGTGCCTTTTCATTTCACATTACATTACAGAGCTATATTTACAGAATCTTGCATCTGCGTTTTCAATGTTTCATCATGTTAGCCACCACTGATGACATCCCTTGCTTTTTATATTGTGTTGTGATGGTCGTAGTAAAAGCTGAAATGTAGGTCTTTGTTTTGTTGCCTGTGGTGACGAGATGTTATGGGGAAAAAACAGCTTCAATGATGGAGATGGAAGCTATGACATTTGGAAGAGGCAGTCAGTCTGAACTGATGGTGCTTGAGCTGCAGAGGGCTCAGATCACTTTAAGTTTGTAGTTTTATAAGTCTATGAGTGTGAGAGTGGGATTTTAAATTATGATTTGATGCACATACTAAGCCAATGCAAGTGTGTGTTGAACTATAGAATGTTACCATAGATCTTGCACACATCAGCTTTATTTGATTTTGAAAATAATCCATATTTTTAACCATATGACCCAGTAGAATTTCCAATCAGAAATCTGTGGAGGCAGGACTAACAGGTGCTTGAATTGGAAAAATGTCTTTTTATCTTCACAATTTCTAAAGTAACCGACCTTTTCATTAAAGGGCCATATTTAAAATCTACTTTTTCACATTTTTTCCCTTGGTATAGATATAATAAAAACTAAAATGTC